GGCAGCAGAGCCTGCCAGCGGTAACCCTAAGGCCTGTGGCCAGGGCAGCACTGGGGCAGCCAAGGGACAGACCTGGGTCTGAGTCCAGGAGTGGGTGGTGCCACGTGGCACACGCCTGAGCCCTGGAGAGAGCGTCCACTTCTACCCATCGGGGTTGGTGACCACTTCAGACAGAGGTCAGGGGTCCCCTCGAGGAGGAGCACTGTTTATGATTCTCAGACTAGCCCCTGGTACCCTATCCTCCCTCAAGGAGAGGAGAAGGGGCATTTTTAGCAGGACTCTGTTTCCCCCAGGAGGTGGGGAAAAAGGAAAAGGCCCCACTCGGTGTTTATCCCACAACAGACTGGTTACCTCCCCCAAGGTCCAGCTGGCTGCTGGTCCCTCTCCCCAGATGGGCACACCTCACTCCAGCCCTCTCAGGTCTGGGAGAAGTGTCCCTGGTCCTGTATGTGGGTTTATGGCTGCAAAGCTACCTTTAGGATGACCCTGGGTGGGGTTGGTAGGGCAGAAACAGCTGCAGAGGCACAGCCACGAGGCACCATCAGAAAGGCATCTCAGTGCTGAGGGGGCCCCTTTCTTCCCTCAGCACTGTTCATGGAGGCCCCCCTATGTCCAGGCCCTGGGGCTGCAGCACTGACCAAGACAGACAGGCCCCAGACTGGCCTTTGCCATTCCAGGGTGGGAAGCCTTTGTCCAAGAGTGGGGCGAACACCCCCAGAATTACCATGTGAGAGGGCTGGGCCAGGCGGAGGCTGTGGGAATATGGGCAGGCCTTCCGGAGGAGCAGGGTGGAGGCACAGCAAGGAGGCTGTTGGCTGAAGGAGCTGGGGCACGTGTCAGGGAAGGGTGGGTAGAAGAGGCTCCACTGGGCAGCAGGGTCAGAGTGTGAGGGCCCTGCAGGCCACATGGAGCCAGGAAAAGGACCTCACTTCATCCCTCTGGCCTCCACTTTCCCCATCTGTAAAAAGGGACAGCAGCATCCTCCTGTGCGGCTCAGACATCTGCCTCTTGGGCCCTCACTGTGTCCATCAGAAAAAGGGCAACAATCCAGTTAAGGTAGTGGGGCTACTGACCAGGGTACCTGAAGGCCCTGGGCTTGCCTCTTGCCTTTCCCAGCACCAACTCCATGCAAAACTGTACCCTGCCCTCCCAAGGAAAAGCCCAGCCAGAGTAGGAGCTACAAAAGGCAGCACTGCCCTCCCTAGGACTCTGTTTAGACCAAATTGTAGAAGGAGGTGGGGGGAGAGGGTAGACAGGTATGGCATTCAGACCCCCCTCTCCTTCCAAGCGAAGCCCCAACTCTTGGGCTCTGGGAGGGCTGGTTGGCCGTGAGGTCCTAGAGAGGGCCTTCCTGACACCTCTTGTCCTGTCTGGGCCCTGGACATTTTATTTCCTGCCCAAATGGCTGTGGGGCTATGGAAGCAACAGGAGGCCTGGGGCCTGCTCCTGGGGAAATATCCCTCCACGAGAGTCTGGGGGTAAGGGGTGACAGTGGGAATTCTACAACCCAGGCCTCCAGCTTTGCCAGTCTCTGCCCCCAGTCCCTCCCATACCTCCTGCCCACCAGCCTTATAAGGTTGCCTGTTCCTATTGGCCTCCCTGAGGGCAGGGCCCAGCACCGAGAAAGCTCAGAAATGCTGGCTGCATGCACAACAGAGTGGACAGGGGACAGCCAGCAGTCAGGAAGTTCAGGGTCTCTCCTCCATTCATTCCCAGTGAAGTTCTTTTTCTGTCCAAGGCCACTAGGTGTGACTGGCAAGATGACAATAATAGATGGGGGGGCCTGGCCTACGTAATGTTCCCTGAATGTGGTCAGTTCCATACTCTTCCAGCTCCGGGACTTGCTCACACTGTCCCCTCTGGCCAGAGCACCCACTCCACCCGCAGCCCTGCCCACACTCCCAAGTCCACTGCCCACCTGGGGTCTGTCGGACACCTGTTTATCTACCCGCCCCACAGTTCCTCCAGGGCAGGCCAAGTCTCAGTCACCTTTTGTGGTTTCAGGGCCCAGAAGGGGACTCGACACTGTAGGTGTTCAGCTAATCTTTGTCGACTGAGGATGAACAACAACACTTCAACAGAGCTTCCTATGTGCCAGACCCCGCTGTAAAAGCTGTATGTGTGATGACCCTTTTACTCCTCATGACCACCCAGTGAGGTGGGTGGTTTCACTCTCATTTTGAAGATGAGGACGCTGAGGCAGAGGGAGGTTGAGTGACACACCCAAGGCCACCCAGCCAGTAAATGGCCAAGCCAGGGTCCACACTGATCTACTGTGCTGCCTCTCGGGAGTGCTGCCAACTCCGGGAAGTTGTCCTGCGCAGCAGGGCGGACGCCTTTGTCATTGCCAGAGACAGAGTGCACCCAGCTCGAGCCTCTCAGATTAAGTCCCGTTTTCCTTAGTGTGGCTTTTCCCCCTCTTCCCCCTTCTGGACTCACTTCTCCTGCCCCCTACCTGGCAGGAGTGGGTTTGATCTCCTTGAGGACGGTGAATTCGGGTTCAGCACATGTTTGCAGAATGATGGCTTTACTACATAGACCCCAAAGGCATGCACAGCTTCATGGAGACCCTTGAGCCTCATTTTCCCTCCCCCAAGCCTCACTTTCCTGCTCTGGGAAATGGGCTGACTTGCCCAACTCACATGGTGTGACACCCAGTAAGGATTCTGAGTTTCTCCAGAACTGACGCTGTGTCAACAGTCTGTTAACCCAAGTCTTGGCACTGCTGTCTGTGTGCCTGCCTTAGACAGCCAGGTGACTTTGCCCAGGTGACTCAGGGTGGGGATGAGGTTACAGTCAGGCCGGGGTGTGTGCTCCTTGTCCTCTGGAGCTCCCTTAGGGAGACCTGGGACGAAGAGATAAGTTGCCTGGGAGCTTGGAAGGACTAGCGGCTCGTTTTGCCACCTGACAGTGGGTGGGGACACTTGTCAAAGGCTCTTTTTTGCTGCAAACAGTTGGATGGAGTCTGTCCCACCCCTTCTGGCTCACTGAGCAGCAGGCTCAGGGCAGGGGGATGGGGTGGGTGAATGGGGGCGGCTGGCAATGCCTCTGCCAACTGCTGCTAACAAGTGGTGGCTCGCTGACTGGGCAGGGCAGGCCGCGGTGACCCCGGGCGGAGCAGCCAATGAGCTCCGGGGTTGCGGTGGCACCACCGGGCAGCCCGCCTGTCTTTGGCTGGAGCAGCAGCGGGAGGGGCCTCGGGCCGCCAGTCAGGGCCGCCGGGCCCTGTCTCTGGGAGGCCCGGCAGATCTGCCGCTCCATTCACGGGAAGACCTACTTGAGCTGCCACATTTTTAACTTTTCCGATCTCCTGGGGGAGGAGGGCCAGCTGTGGGGGCGGTGTGGGAAGGATGCCTGGCAAGACTGTGCAGTGGGGTGATGGAAACTTGGAGAACTTTTCCCTTGCTCTCCAGGCTGGGGAGAGGGGAGATTCTCGATCATTTTGCTCACAGGAGGCCCCATGGGATGGAGGGAGGAAGCAGGAATAGGGGTAAGCAGAGGTTGGTGATCATGGCCTCGGTTACCCACCTGGGACTGGCGTCAGGGACCTCACAGCCACTCGAGCCCCTGACCCTTTGCCTGGATAGTCAGCTCTGGAACAACACTTGTGACCTAAGTGGCTGTCAGCTGGGGCAAGGGGTGAGGGGGACGTTCAGGCTTCTTGCCATAAAGCTCCTTGTGGTATGATCTGGACAGTGTCAGCAACAGGTGCTTGTGCCCATCCCCCTCAGCTCAATGAAGACCCACCATGGCCAATCACATAATAAACATATATTTATAGATGTACAATTTCAGAATTCTAATTCAAGAAATACAGCTTCTCAGGGGATCCCTTAGGATCTATGTTCTTATTGCACATGGCTCAGCCCGTCTAAGGACATCTACTGAGACCAGACGGTCGGGGTGGTGGGGGCAGAGCACCAGGGCCACCGCAGGTGGGGCACTCTTGCCCACGTCCAGTTCTTGTCATCTCTCTGGGATGGGGTGGCCGCTTCATCACAGGGCAGGACCTTGTTCAAAAACCAGATGTGACGTTTCTTTACCAAGCTTTCCTTCCTAGCAAGAATCCTATTTGTTGGGGGACTTTAAAAAAAAAGAGCCAAGAGAGACTTCGGGAGGATGGTGATCACCCCCCAGCTGGCAGCTTGGGGAAGTAAGGCTTTGGAAGGTGATGGGCTCAATGACACCCACTGCCAGAGGAAAATTTGGGAAAGACGGTAATTCCAAAAGGCTCAGTATAAACTGTGGGAATAAATAAACCTCCCTCCCCTCCCCTGGCAGCAACTGCTGTTCTGAGCCAAGTCCTCCTTTGAAGGTGAGGATGAGAAAACCCTTCTGCTTCAGGCGCATCCTGTGTCCAAATGCAAGAGAAGGCTGGGTGGCGACGCGGCCGTGGAGGGTGGAGACAGAGGTGCCCACAGGCACGGACTTCCTTCAGGAGCTGGCTGCTGCCCTGGGGGCCTGGGCACCACCTGGCTGACTCTTGGAGGAAGAGCCTTCTAGAGTCCTTGGTGCACGACTTAGGAAAAACCAGTGGCAACAATGGAGCTGTGCCCTGTGGCACCTATAAGGCAAAACCCACTTAGGGACTAAGGGCTGGCCTCCCTCTCCAACCCTGCTATTCTTTGTGGCAGGGGGTCAGGGGGCTCCTGGGCACCAGGAAAAAGAGCCCACCTGAGTTGGGCAAAGCTTGAGGTGGGTGGTCTTACCCCCACAGGCTGTCTGCGGCCTCTGCCATGACTCAGTACTGACCCAGCATCTGGCCCTGGGGCACTTTCTCTCCCCACAGCCTGCTCCCCTCCAGCTCAACCATAAACCTGGTAACTCGATCAGAAGTTTTCCACAGATTTATACTATCATGATTACTGCTGCCGTCAAAAACAGGCTGGGGTTGAGGGGAACATTAAAAGCTATGCCCCGACTTGCCTCACACGGTCAGCTACGGCTAATGTCTCGCCTTTGAAGGGCTAGGTCGCCTTCCCCAAACAGGCCTTGTTCTCTAAAACAGGGAAGAAATCAGCTAAACAACTTAACCAAACCCCTGCATAGTTTAAAAAGTAGACTATATATATATATCTCTTCATATATGCTATTTACATATAAATAGATATATATATACATATACACGCATCTATGGATTACATTCTACGGAGAGTTCTCTTTCCTCCTCTCTATCCTTGGCCAACGCCTCTGACTGGCTTCCACTGAGAGGTGACCCCTGGTGGCTCCTGGGAGGGGGAAGAAAGGCAGTCGGGCACCCCCTCCCCCAGCCCTTCCCACAGACATTTGCTGCAAGTTTTACATTCTACTTTCGTTGCCATGGTTTCCGTATCCTAGGAGAGAGCCAGTGTGAAGCCGGAGCCTCTGCCAGCCCCAGGAGGAAGGGAAGCAGCCCTGGGGCAGGTCTTCCTGTCTGTCCTAAGAGCTTTCTGCATTTACTGGGTGAGAGAGAGGGCAGTTGTGTGATGTTCGGCCTCCAATTCCATTTTAATTTTTTTCTTTTTATGTCTTTCCTTAAACATACAGTCCATCACCTTGGCTCAGTGCATGTCACCAAAAATTCTCCAGGGATTTCATGGTCTGGGGAGGAGAGTGGTAACAGTTAGCTTGGCAGTCATGTGCCCCAGAGCCTCCAGCTTAGCCCACCCAAACAAGCAAACCTCCCCACCCTGTCCTGCCCGCCTCAGCCCCGCCCGATCTCCCTCCTGCAGTCTGGTTCACTCTCCTGGAGGCGCTACAAATGGCCTCAAAGCCGAGTCTGTAGCTGGATCCCTGACGAGGGGACACAGGCAAAGGAGGGGTGGGCAGGGTACCAACACAGCAAAGAACCTTGACGGGCTCTGCCCAACACTCCTCTGGGCTTGGTCCAAGCTGTCCCCTCTGGCAAATCTTGGGAACTGAGCCCACCGACCCACACGTGGGGTAAAGGAGGTGGGGAGTCTGCTACCAGCAACTTTCAATTCTTCCCCACCCCTTCTGTGCCGAGGGCTCTGTGTTCCACCCTGAACTCATGACCTTCTGTTCCCTTCCTCAGACCACAGGTGAGATGCCTGGACAGGCGGGATGCCTATGCCTTCCAGGTTACCAGGTGCAGTAGCATCAGAGACAGTGCCTCTGGTCCCACCAGAGGGCTCTGGTGAGGGTGTGCAGGCATCTCCTGCCCCCAGCTTGTTGTCGGCTCCCTCCCCTGCCCACTGTTGGATGAGCTGCCCATCCATCTTCTTCCATTTCCTCCTGCCTGGAAGGGCTCTTGGCCCACTCATTTCCACATAGTTCTTCCTGGTGTCAGGTGAGAAGCATGTGTAGGGATCATCTTGGGCCCAGCAATATTTGGTGGCCTAAATACCAGGGCACAGACAATAGTCTGCTGAATTTGGGAAAGGGCCATGGTGACTTGATGGCTGGAGCAGACCAAGGAGGCATGAGTGGCTCTTAGCAGCAGCCTTGGGTCCCTCCTTCTGCCTGGCTCTTGGGTACCCCACAGAGCCACAGCCAGGGCGTAGGGCAGGGGTGGGTGGAGAACAGCACTAGAGGGCTGATACAGACCTCAGTTTCCAAGCACACTGGAGGTCAGGCTGGGGACAAGGAGTCTGTGCCATAATCACCAGGCTCCCTCCTTCTCTCCCTCCCACCCTCCTCTGCCTCATGACCAGGGCCAGAGCTGCCAGAAGTTGCAGGGCAGAGGAGGCCCTGGCTCATACTTGGACCTCAGTGGCGTGGCTGGCCCAGGACTATCCATGTAGGGAGGCCTGCACCTCTGATAGTCGGTTACAGCTTGGGGTACCCATCTTCTGTGCTTTGTGGTACATATCTGTGTCGCCGAAGTATCGGGCCCGGTACAGCAAGCCTTCCTCTGCAAAGCAATGGGGCAGGGTTAGGGCACACCCCAAAGGCTGCTAGGATGCCTGTCTGGCCTGTGGGGACGGGCAGAAGATAGTTCCAGGAGCTGGGGCAGAGCTGGCTTCCCTTAGAGAAGACCTGGAGGAGCAAAGACTATGGTCCCAAATTGGGAGAGGGAAAGAGGCCCCTTTCTATAGAGTGTAGGTGAGGTGAGCCAAGGTGAGACCTGTCCTCCCGGTCAGACCTCCCCAGGGTCCCACAGATATAGCCGGATGCCCAAGTCAGTGGCGGCCAGGAGATCTGCTCCATTCTCTCTCTACACACTCACCTCTGACAGCCGAACGACAGGCTGACTACAGTGATTCAGAGGAACCTGGAGGAAACCCCCAGGTGCCCCTGGCTCCCGGCCCCAGGGGAACAGGGGTGAGTCCAGCTCCCAGCTGGGAGGTGGCTGGCACAGGGCAATGCCAGGTGCTGGGCCCATGGACCACGGGGTAAGCAGGGCTCTCCCTCTCCCGCTCTCGGCTTTGCCCCTAACACACTCACTCTGCTGCTTCTCCTTCCAGCAGTTGTTTCGGAGGTTGGCGATATAATCATCTTCCACGTTCCGTTCTACTGTCTTGAGGCTGGAGCCTGTGTACTCCTCAGAGAAGGTGTCTGCCACGTAGTAGATGACCTTCAGGTGGTCAGTGACTCGCTTGTGGATGTGGCCCACCGACCTGGCCAGAAATATACCAGGCACAAAGTGGGCACAGGTCCCCAGGCTCAGGGCAGCTGTAGGGATGACGGGCCTCCCGACAGGAGGTGCCACACAGGCCACAGGAGGAGTTGCTTCCCTCCCAAACTAGAGCAGGAACCTGCACACCACCCAAAATGAGGGTCTGGAGAAAAGGCAGGGTGTCCCTTTTCTATGGCAAGCCCTTCCTCAGGCTCTCTGCTGACCACACTGTTGACCCGGGGGCCTTTGGGCAGAAGCCCCTTTCTGAGAGGCCCTGGTCAGGGAAGTAGGGAGCTGAGAGTAGGTCCAGGCTCTGCCTCTGACGAGCTGCGGGACATGAGTTTCCTGGGCCTCCGTTTCCTCATTCATCCCCTAAGCCAATCTGGCTGAAGGCCTGCCTGCCTATCTAGGAGCTCCCAGTCTAGAGTTAGAGGCTTGGAAACAAAACGACAGGAAGGATTCCAATGACTTGTATCCTTTCAGCTCTTGGATCCTATCTTCCAGCTCCAAACCCAGGCTCTGCAGGCTGTGGGAAGAGCCTCAACACACAGACAGGAGTCAGTGCTCCGCGGAGGACAGCCCCTGCCTGCCCACTGCTCCCTCTCATCTCTCCAGCTGCAGAGAAAAGGGCTGGCATGAGGCCACAGCCTGTGCCTGCTGGTGTGGGGCCAGTGGACCAATTCTGCCCCCTGCTGGCTGAGAAGGATGCTGTCAGGCTCCCAGCCAGAGCCAGGCAGCTTGGTAGGAGCAGAGAGCTTCCACCAACAGAAGCTGAATACCCATTATGTATCAGATACTGTGCCAGGTGCTGGAAATAAATGAGAGCAGCTGACACCTTAAAAAGCCAAATAACATGCTCAAGTTCACTACTGGCATTTGAGACCATATATTCTTTCAACAAATATTGCTGACCATTTCTAATGAGCCTGGCATTTTATGTGCATTACTCATTTAATTTTCACAAGCAGATAGATGATGTTATTCCCACTTTATAGATGAAGAATCCAATGCTCAGAGAAGTTACATTAACTTGTCCGGGGTCACAGCTGCTTAGTTAGTAGAGGAGCTGGGATTCAAAGTCACCCTTGCTCTGTCTGACTCTAGAGCCCCTGTTCTCTCTATGGCCCCAGGGCCCCCAACCAGAACAGGAGGGCAGAAGTCCCTGCTTCAAGGTAAGCAGATAAGATGGGGGGTGTGTGTCATGCAGCCTGTGAAATCATATGCAAAATTGTGTGCATGTGCAGTGTTCTAGGGAAAAGATCTGCGATTCTCATTGCATTTTCTTAGGGGAAAGTGATCCTAAAAAGATCAAGAACCTCAGCTCAACAGGGAAGTATACTTCCTTGATTCTAAGCCAGCTTTCTGCATTAAGACGAAGAACCTACAGGATGGGAAAGAAGGCCCCTGACGGGGGCTGAGACTCCAAAGCCCCCATCTGCCCACCACCCTGGCCTCACCCCCAGAGGCAGGTACTCACGGCCTTGGGCTCAGACTGTAGGGTGGACTGGAGACCATGAGCTGGCTGAGAGCTGACACGAGGATCAGGATGAGAATGGGCATCAGCTGGACAAACACCCCAAGCCCGCCCTGGAGAGAAGAGCCAATGGTCACCCAAGCTGGACCTGGGTGGGAGTGTGGCATCGGCCACAATTGCCACCAGCTCCCCCAGCACACTGGAGCCCGGGTGGTGGGAGGCAGCTGCCACCCAAATAGGCCATGACATCCTTCTCTCCCCTTCCCTCCCACGGTCCCCAAAACAGAGAAGCTCCTCCACCTGCCAGCTTCCCCAGATAAAAACAAAATAGCAATTGGTGTTCAATACAGAAGGAAGGTGGGTATATGTATTTACCTGTGAGAGAATACCAAAATAATGAGCACAGTGGCTGCCTCCAGGACAACGGGAGGTGGGGCTGGAGGGAGACTTTCACTCTATACACCTTCCAGAGTTTTGGACCATACGAATATGTTACACCAACTTAAAAACTACCAGTTAAAAAATTATAAATAAAAATAAATTTGTTCACTGGGTGATACTTTGTGATTTAAAAAACTCTTCTGCATGTTAAATATCCACAAAATAAAAGTTTAAAAAAATGAATAAAAACAAAAGGCCACATTGTTAAAAGGGAATCCCTCTGCCTGCCATAATTTTAAATGCTCCACAACTGTCTGAGGTATTTCAATTTTCGTCAGCTAGCTGTTCTTTAATCTGTGGCATTCAACATGTGTTCAAAGCATGTCTTGTTATAGCTTTTGTACATACTTTTTAAGAGTGCAGAAAAGAGGAGTCAGCGCCTATGTTGTCATCCTTTACAATTCCCTCATGAAGTTCAACTTTCCATTGCTTGGAAGATGTCACTTTGGCCTTATGAACAAACAGACTGCATAAAGGCCATTCACACTGGAACTTGTCTTTACTGGAGAAGTTTCTGCATTGTATTTCCCAACAGAGGCCATCTAATCCCCACGCCTTCCTGTGGGCGATGTGGAGTGTGGCTCCCTCTGGTGTCGCTGAGCAGAATGGCAAGGGGGACCCAGGGCAGCTCCTTGGCTGAGAGCTGTGGGGGCACTGCTTGTCCCAGAATAGACAGCTGGGATGTCACTTCCTGCTCCAGGCCCTGCCCCCTGGGGTGGGGCGCGGCACCCTCCCCATGCTCTCCCCAGTGCCTTCCTCACTCACGTCACCCTGGTTCTCCCTGCGGTCCTGCCTTTGCTGGTAGGTATAGCGCATGCGGCCGTTGCTGTAGACATGGACATTACCTGGAGGACAGAGGGACTGAGTCAGGAGTGGGGCTGCTGGGAAAGGGAGAGGCTGACTCCAGTCTCCCACCACACCCCAGGGAGACCTGGCTGTGGGGAGTGGGGGGTACTTACTAGACGGGAAGCCACCGCCAAAGAACATGTTGAAGAGGTCTTCAGGGGAGATGTCAGCCTCAAAGCCACGGTGGAAGTCCCCATGCCCATGGCCGTGCCGGGCTGCCTGGCTCTTGTCATCACCGAACTGGTCATACTGCTTCCTTTTCTCTGGATTGCTAAGTACCGCATATGCTGTGCCAATGGCTGGAAAGGAGGTCGAAAGGTCAGGCCTGAAGATGCTAGGGGTGAGGTGGAGGTTCCCATGGCAGCCAAGAGCTCATTTCCTTCAGGTACTCAACTGGTGCTTTAGGAGGCAGGAGTTCTTGAGGCCAGCAGGAAGTTTGCTGTGGGGCGAGTGTGGGGAGGGGGGGATGCAGGAAAACCCCTAAGTGAGTCTGGGCAGCCTGGGCTGGGTGGAGGATTAACACTCAGGCTCTTTGCTCTCCACCTCATGACAATGGTCCAGCTTTTTCTATGCGCCAGGCCCTTTACAGGCATTATCTTATTTGCTCATAACAGCAACCCCATCTCCATTTCATCAATGAGAGAATTGAGGCTCAGAGAGGTTAAGTGTAAGATCACGCAGCTCTGATGTTGCAGAGCCACGGATCAAACTTGAAGCAGGTGTGTCTTGCTTCAAGTCTGTTCTCTGACTTGATGAAAACCACCAACCCCTCCTCCTCATTCTTCTCTCTCAAGGTGCCCACTGGGATGGGGATCCCTTTCTGGAGGTTGTGTAATCTTGAAGTCATAGTGTGACACAGGGGCACACAGATGCACAATGTCCTTGTTGTAAACTGGAAGGCAGCAGGAAGTGCCGGGAAGGGCCAAATCCCAGGGTTCTAGTCGAGACTCCTCCACTGCTGCAGTGTGGCCTGGAGAGCCCTCGCCTCCCTGAGGTCCAGAACCCAGCTGATGTTCCTCTGCTTGGTCCTGGGGCCTCCCCTCTAAGGCCCCAGATGGGAAGCCTGTGCCTCAAAGGACCCCGGTCCTGAGCCCTCCTCAGTCTCCTGCTCCTTCTCAAGAAGCCCACTCTCTCCAAGGAGTGGGTCAAAGCTGATTCTGCTTCAGAACTTGCACCCCCTGAGAATAAGGAGACCGTCCCCATTCTAACCAGGCCGCAAGGCCAGATCTAGCCTCTCAGTGTCTGTCGGGGCAGGCTGCAGGAGCGGTCAGGGCTGGAGCAACATTAACCACGGCCACCCTGCCTCCCTACTCCCATTCGCCTTCTCCCTCTGGGGCTGGCTGACAGGCAGCAGGGGGGATGATGCCTGCAGACCACTCCAAGCAGGACCAACCCCAAGCAGTCTGGAATGGAACACCTGGGGCAGGCCCTGGGAGACAGCACACCAGGTCTTGGGGTCTGCTCTGCCACAGGCTTCCCATTTGGCTATGGTCAGGGCCCCAGGACTGCACAGCACCCTTCCTGGGCCAGGTGGAGCTAGTCGCCATGCTATGAGGTGAGCCAAAGACTTTGAAGGTCCTAAGGAGGACAAGGTGGGCCTAAGAGAAGAGACGGCTGGGGGAAAAGTAGAATTGCAGTGCCCAGGAACACAGTGCTGGCACAGGGTCGGTACACGTGTGCCTGATGGGGTCAATGAAAATATAAACGATTAAAGAACAGCTTATGATTTCAGCCAGAACTGAAGCACCCATCCCAGAACCAGTGGACCCTGAGGCCAGAGACTGCCATGCCCGCCACTGCAGGCCCTGGGCGTGTATTTATGTGGGTGATGTGTGTGTGTGCGTGAGTGTGTGTCGTATGTGTTTGTGTTATGTGTGAGTGCGTGGTGTGATAGAGTCTGTGAATGTGTGTGTGTGGTGTGTGTGTGTGTAGGTGGGGTTGGCTATGGCTGCTGCTGCTGAGGAAGCCACCAGACCAGAGGCCACTGACCTGGGGCTGCCCTGCCCCTCAGCACAGGGAAACCGTTACTGAGATCCCAAGATGGGGAAGTGCATATGGGTGAGTGAAGAGGCCTGCTTCTGACCCTCAATCACTGTGTGACCTTGGAGAAGCCACCGGTCCTCTCACCTCAGCTCCCTTCCTGTAGCCCCCGGGGAACGGGGAGGAGGGGGAGGCAGGAGTGGCACTATCTGAGCTCTAACAGACTCTGTATGGTTAGAGGTGGCTACCAGGACCTTGTTCCCAGGAAGCAGCTCCTGAGCCCATGGGACTGGGGTCCAAGGCCACTTCCTGGAAAAGCTATCTTGGCCCCTTATTCCTTCCCAAGGACAAGAGAGAAAAACACCAAAACACTGGGAAGCCAGGGCCAGCTTACCTTTGAAAGCTTCAGTGGCGCCAGGTGCGTGGTTCTTGTCCGGGTGGAATTTGAGGGCCAGTTTGCGGTAGGCCTTCTTCAGGTCCTCATCTGAGGCCCCTCTGCTCACCCCCAGGATCTCGTAGTAATCTTTACACTGCTTGACCCTGAGGGAGAGAGAAGAGTGTGGTGGGGGGACTCTACATGGGCCCAGGGCCGTGTGGAGAGGTGGGCGAGGAACAAGCAGCGTGGGCACACAGCTCTGAGCAGGCTCGGGGGACCAGCAGGGCATGGCCGACAGCTCCTCCAGGTCAGCTGTCAGATCTTGGGGACAAGGGAGCCTCAGTAAGCTCCACCTGGGATGGGGAGCCGGGCAGGGCCCAGTGGAAACACCAAGAATATACTTAAGATTTCACGGGGGCAGCTGCTGGTTTTGCCAGGCCAGGAACCATTTCCCTTCGCCAATAGAGCAACCTCAGAAGGACTGTCAATGACTGTCAATCAGGGGCCTCTGCCCAAGGGCAGGTGTGTCCCAAGCTCGGCCAGCTGTACTCTCTCATGGCAATCGGAGTCTTGAGCGGTAACATAAAGGCCAGAAATGGCAGGTGTCTGTTCACCCCATCAAAGAGCCCTGAAGACACCCTGGTTCTCTTCCATCAATTCTTACTCCCGGGGCCCCTGAAGACCCCCTGATTCTTGGCCTTTTCCAGGCTTTCCCAACTCCCCACAATCAGTTTCTATTGCCTACAACAAATGAGCTTGTCTGGTCAAAACCCTGTCTGGTCAGAAAAATGCAAATTTGGCTCATGCTTTTACAGCAAACTACAGTCATGCGGGGTCACACACACAGGCTGAACCCCAGACCTGAAGCTTGTTGTTATCTCCACTAGCAGCCAGGGCCATGTGGAATGACCTTGGAGGGATTCCCAAGGCTAGCTGGAGAAATGACAGGCAGGATTATCTACTCCTGAGAAGCCAGCTGGGTTGTCTCAGCCTGGTAGTGAGCTGTTCTGTGCAGGGCCTGCCCAAGCCTTGGAGGGATAACCGTCTCCTGTCTCCACTCTATCCCACGCAGGCTCTGCTTTGAAAAGGTCTTTGTTGGGGGTGGGGTGTGGGCTGGGGGAGAATCTGGAGGGGGAGACCAGGCCCCGTCTCTGCCTGACAAACAGAGCTGTGTGAAGAGGGTGGGGCCCGCCTGGCCAGCAGCAGCAGAAGCTGGCAGTGTCAGCGTTTCCAGCCTCTGCTATGGGCTGTCTTGGTGGGAGGGGACCGTGGAGCCCTGATTCCCACACTATTCCAAGGCCCCGATGGGCATGATAAGCCCGACCACTTGGACCATCTCCATCCTCAAGACCCTCCCAGACCACAGCAGATGTGAGGTGGAGGATGTGTTGCAGGAAGCCTTCTCTCAACTTGAAAACTTCCCAACACCCCCAGCTCCGGCCCTGGCCCGCCCGGCCCAGCCCTCTACCTTTTCACGGCCGCTACTTGTTCCGCAGTGTAGCCTTTGGTGCTGTCTCCTCCTCCAGCTTCACCGTTAGCAGCAGGGGTGTCGGCTCCACTGGCTTTCCTATGGGTTGCACGGGTTGTGTCTGTGGGTTGGGGCTGGTCACCGGCAGACTGTGATTTCTGGTTGAGTGACTCGATCAGGGCTGTGCAAGGCAAGGAAACCACTCAGGACTTCTGTTCTAGCAAGGCCACATGCAGTGCCTGAGGGACTGCCTGGCCCTGCGAGAGGCCAGGGTCCCCCACATCCCACTCGCTTCTTCTCCCGGCAAAGCCACTGGCTCCTTTCCTGACTTAGGCCTGCAGGGCCCTAGTGGGCTAGTCTCCTGCTCTCTTAGCATCCACAGTTCTCAGGAGTTGGCAGGGCATAGGTCATTTTAAACTCAGCATAAAAACTATTAACGCTTCAGGTTTTTTAAATCCCAAAGCAGTGCATTCAACAAACATCCTCTGTTGAGTGCAGAGATGCGCGAAGTACTTTGCAATGGAGACCCCACTTAGCAGGACCATCTGATTCAGCTGGGATTGGTCTGGCAGACTTCCTGGAGGCCTTGGCTTATCCGTGAAGAGGAACAAGGGCAAAGAGTTTGCCCCAGGGCCAGGGATGGTGAGAGACTCAGAATAAACATCTGCTGTGCTCACTACTTGCTATTTTTTTACATCTTTCAAATGGCTGGCCATGTCAAATGCCCTACTTCAATATCTGGAATCTATACAGGGCATTAGCTGTCACTCTCAAACAGGGTCACGGTTATTCAAACTCAAGTCCTTGGTTCTTGCTGACTCAATAAGGAAGGGCCCAAATCTCTGGCAGAAGTCCCCTGTGCCCATTTATTATAGGCACAAAACCAGTTCCTAACCCCTCAGTCATGCCCGTGGTACAGTGTCCTGGGAAACTAGGCATCTGGACCACAGTAGGGACCCAGCACACTTCTGTGCTGAGGAAGGACAGCAGCAGAGCCTGGTTGGTCCCCAGCTTCCTTCAAACGCGCCAGGTGTCTGCTGTGCTGGGTGTCAGACACGCTCTACTGCGACACACTTGGATCTCACCCAAAGGGCCTGGAGCAGGGCTCACTGGGAGCAGAGTACTGGGGCTCAAGTGGACCACTGTGCTCTGAGCCATTGCTGTCACGGTTGCAGCAAACTCACGCAATCTCACTGAGTCAGCAGCTGGGAAATCCAAACAGAGGAGCACTGACAGCTGAGCTCACCCCACACACGGGGGCTGGAAGGGCTCCTGTAGCAAGCCCCGAGAGGGCACTCGGACAGGAGCAATAGTAATGAGCGCTCACTATGTGTTAGGCTCTGCGTGTATTAGCTCATTTAATCTTGACGATGGCCTTGGAGGTAGGTCTTATTACCACCATCCCCATTATAAGGAAGGAGCTGTGTGTTTGATCAACTTGCCTGTGGCTGCACAACCCCAGGATGTCTGGCTCCCAGAGCCACGCTCTTAACTCTGCTGCTCTCCCAGAACACACGAGTCTGGTGTGGGGACCCCCTTCCAGTACAGTCATTCCAAGTACAGAAGAGAAGTTAAATTCAGAAAGACCCAGGTTTCAATTCTCAGCCACTTCCTAACAGTGAGACCCTGGCCAATCTATGAAATTTCTCTGAATCTCAGTTTCCTCACAATGGGGGTATGAGGATAAAATGAGATAATGTGTATACGCACCTGGCACAGACTGACATAAAGTAAAAGTTCAAAATGAGCAGCTGCTAATATTATGACCTGGGTCGATGAACTGGCTGGCCCAGGGGGTAAGGGGACCCAAGGTGGTGGGGGCCGGGGAGCTCGAAGGCTTAGGACTCAGCACTCAGCAGGCTTTGGACCAGCTGTAACTATGAGATTTCAGGCCACTCCAGACTCCAAGTCCATGCCAGGCACCAAGAGAATGGCAAAGGAAGAAACCAACAGATGAAGAGATGCAGATCAAGCTGCGACAGAGGGAGAAGTTGGTTTGCGGTTTTCCTAGGGCTTTTAAAGAAGCTGTTTAGGGGCCGGCCCTGTGCCTTAGTGGTTAAGTGCGTGCGCTCCGCTACTGGCAGCCCGGGTTTGGATCCCGGGCGTGTACCTACGCACCGCTTGTCCAGCCATGCTGAGGCGGTGCCCCACATACAGCAACTAGAAGGATGTGCAACTATGACATACAACTACCTACTGGGGCTTTGGGGAGAAAAAGGGAAAAAAAAAAGGAGGAGGATTGGCAATAGATGTTAGCTCAGGGCCAGTCTTCCTCAGCAAAAAGAGGAGGATTGGCATGGATGTTAGCTCAGGGCTGATCTTCCTCACACACAAAAAAAAGAAGCTGTTTATTTCAATTTCTCTGGAAGCCCCAGTGGCCCAAGCTGAGCTAACATACCCTAAGGACAACATGACCAGCTAGTCCATTGCCACAGATACACAGGAGTTATCAGCCAGGATGCGATGGACTCTCTCCAGTACCTGTCAGGGCAGATTCTGGAAGCTTTTCAGGGCAGTTACATGGAGTCAGCCACTCTAATTTCCCTACACTGCAGAGAGAGAGCCCGAGGGGAACGGATGTGCTCTGCGTCACTCAGAAGGTTCCTGCTTGAGTTGGCAATTCAAGATTTCTGGTTGCTAACAAGTAGGTCTCTCTTGGAGCCTGGACACCCCCTCTGCCAGGCCTCATCCTGACTCACTGTTACGTCCCTCATGGCACAGTGGCTGACAGGCAAATGTCACAAAAAAGTAGGAGACAGAACAGCTTAATGTGGTTCTGGAGTTAAACAGACATGGCTGGGTTCAAATCCTGACTCTGCCCCTTCCCAGTAAAGCTGGCAGACACTTAAAAAGAAGGGAAATCGATGGAAGAGACCAAAGCTGCGGTGGGAGGGGTGGCAGCTTAGGTAGGGGTGAGAGCATTTCTATGGCCAAAGCCACCAGGGGCGGCCCCTCCTCAAACCCAGACTGGAGGGTCAGACTGCCCGAGTTCAAACCTGGCTCTGCCTCTTTCCGGCAGAGTCATCTTGGACAAGTTAACTTAGCTTCTCCACGTAAACCTGTGTCTCTCTCAACAGAGTTGAAAGAGTAAATGAGTGAAGGCATATAAAGGACTTAGCACAATGCCTAGCAAATACTGTTATCTGTTACTCTTCCTCTACTTCAGGCTCTCTCTATGTACCTGCAGCGCTCAAAGCGCAGAAAGGGAGGCTGGAGTAGGGAAAGGGCCTGGCAGTGGGACTAGACCGTCTGGTTCCTTTGCTAATTAGCCATATGGCCTTGTCAGGCTATCGAGTTCCTCAGTGAAGACATGATCCCTGTCCTCACTGGGTTGTTCTGAGTAGTAAATAAGATTCAGTAAAATAAGGTGAATGGAAGGCTTGAGCACACAGTGGGGTTCATAAAGAGTTGACTAACTTGAATGGACAACCCCATCGTGGACCTTGTCAGTACTAGAACATCTCTCACTCCTAGATCTTGAATGCCAAAATCTCTCGGCAACCCATTCTCCCCTCTCCTATGTGCTGGCCTTCTCGGCTTGGCCCTCCTGACTTAGCCTGGACCCCATAGCCAGCCATTTCACAGAACCATAAGCAGCCTTTGACATGGACCTGGAGTCTGGAATGGCCTGAAATCTCATGTTTACAACTGGGTCCTGCTGAGTGCTGAGTCCTAAGCCTTGGAGTTCCCTGGCTCCCACCACCTTGGGTCCCCCGACCTCCCTGGCCAGCCTGCTGCCATGGCCAGCCAGTTCATCAGCCCAGGTTATAATATTAGCAGCTACTCACTCTGAACTCTACGTCAGTCTCTTCTGCCATGTGCTTTCACAGAACTTTAGGCAGCCAACCTGACCTCTGTGGCCAACCCTCTCTTTGTATGCTGGGGAACCTGAGGCCTACAGATGTTCTCATCAGCTGCCTGGAAAACCAGGTACCTTCCACCATTGTCGCTAAGCCCCAGGCAAAGCCAACGGCTACTAGGCTGCCAGGAGCTGGACAGAAAATCCCAGAAAGGGACTGACTGGCTCCACTAACCCTGCCCTGTGAATTCCCAGCACAGGGTCCGGCTACTGCTCCACAGTACAACTGTTCAGCCCTCGGTGCCTCCCTGTCCCACCTCCTGCAGCACGAGTTTCAAGTCCCCTCACATCCTTTGCACTGTGAGGTCCCTCAACCCTTCAAGGTTGCTGTGAGCCTCCACTCACCCCTAACTCTTCCCTCTGTCTGTCCTTCCACTTCTCCAAGACCAATCCTCCACCCATGCTCTTGATCCTTCCCCTTTCATTTCTTGAAGTGTCCTTTTCCCACATGGCCTCTGCAGCAACTGACAGCGCCGCTGACCACCTCCTTGACACACTGCTCCATGGCCACCTGGCCGCTGCCCTCTCCTGGGACTGCCTCTTCCTGCAGTTGCTCCACCTCACTCTGTTGCTGCCTCTGCCTTGCCCATTGGCTACGGGCAGATGCGGCCCATGGTTGTGCCTGCAGCATCCTCTTCTACATGTTTCACACTTTGCCACAGTGACCTCAGCCAAGCATAACTCCAATGAGCTCCACCAAACTGATGCTACGGCTTTCAGCTGGAACCTGGAGTTCTCTCCTGAGCTCCAAGCTGACAGCTTCTTTGGAACATCTCACCAGCACCTTACACTCTGCCCATCTCTTCCTACCCACATTCTTCAGCCTTCGTTTCTTCCCAGTCACACAGGCTTGGATTCTGAGTCCCCATTTTTCCTCAGCATCCCTTTCTCCCAGAAGGCCTGGTACCTCCTCTCCAATGACTTTATCCTCATCCATATTGCCTTATCTCAGGCCCTCATAACTCCTAACCTACTCAATGCAATTGTCTCCCAACTGGTTTCTGCCTTGAGTCCTTCCCTCTCATTAGTCCTTCATGCTTTCTCTTTTAAGAAAAGTACCCTTATCTTATTCCTGCTAACAAAAACTTCAATGGTTTTTTCACTAACTACAGAATAAAGTAAAAATATCCTTGCCTGGCAGGAAAGGATTTCCACAAGCTGGCCCCATCCTATGTTCCAACTTTAATCCTCTCTATACTCAAATTACCACCTCCATAGCCTCCAAATCTTGCTACATTCAATTCCTTCCCCCAAACCTCTTACAACTTCCAACCTCCATGTCTTCTTCCCAGTATGCCCTTCTCCAGGTCTCGTACCTTCCTCCAAAGTGCAGCTCAAATGCTGTCTCCTGTCCTACTCCCTGAAGCCTTCCTGCACTGTGACCTATCATTATTTTTATGTCCTTGCTACAGCACTCACCATACTGCTAATAATTTAATGTTCAGGAGATTATCCTCCATGCCCCCACCCCCAGCACTCCCCTCCACCTCACCAGACTGAACCCATGGAGGGCAGGGACTGGATTTTTCACATCCATCCTTAAGTCCTCAGCATCTAACACTGTGCTTAATTTTTATTTTAATCACAGTTATGGCTTTATGGCTTGCAATATGACTTTTTCTGTAACTTTGTCTCCTTCACTAGACCGTAAACTCCTTGAGGCAAAAGATCATGTCTTACCAATCCTGCTATACCACTTGGCACCAAGCAGAGGACTTTGCAAACAAAACAAAACAAAAAGTCTGAGCATCTCGAATGAGCTCAAACCCCAAATATCAAGTGTAGACAATTACCTAATATCTTTTTAACCAAGATTTCCCTATCCCAGGCCTAAATTAACCGCAGGTCCTTGTCAGCTCAGTGCAGTGCTGAAGATGGCACAAGGTGAAGTTTACAGAGATGCATAAGGCCTATACTCTTCTAAAATAACATGAATATGATAAATATGCAGCAGGTGACTCTTCTGCTTGAGCAAATCCAGTGCTTGAGCCCCAGGAAGGACATCCGTCAAGCCCCTGAACTGGCCCAGGAGGCCTGCTGACAGGAAGATCTCCATAGGCCATGTTGTTACCATCCTTTTTGGCTACCTGCTCCTGATCCCCTCCAAAGTACTACAGCAGACAAAAATCTGAGAGCTGGAAGTCCCCCACTCCATCAAGCTCCACTCTTATAGAGTGTGATTTACTTCATAGAGAAGCACCTTGAATAGGTTATCTCAGAAGTCCTGGCAAATACAGACTGAAACCCTCTCCAAGAGAAGGCAAATAGGCCAAAGATCAACCTGCAGAGTCAAGAGGGAGGAAAATTCAGGCATGCCAGGCCGCCTCTTCTGCAGTCTTCCCCTTTCTTAAATTCATAACGTGGGCAAGGAAGGTTAGGAGGCTGAGTGCTGTTCTTCAATTTCATTTCATTCCTTTAATAAATATTTATAGAATCGCAGAACTTTCCAATTTCTAGCTGTGTAATCTTGGGCAAGTCCCTTGCCTTTGAGGTATTTCCTCATCTATAGAACAAAGATAACGATCTTTGCTCTTCCTGCATGATAGGGCAGGCCCAAGTTAGAAAATGCATTCGAGAGACCTTTCTAAACTGAAAACCCTTATGGATATTATTGTCATTCACATTATCTGTGCCAACCCTCTAATATTCCAGATGACGAAATCCAATCTCAGAAAGATCACATAGTAGCAGTCAGGATGAGAACGCAGGAGTTCTGATTCTGAGTACCTGCTATATGCCAGTTTACTAAGTGATTATTGCAGGCCCAAACTCTTTCTTCCCTCCAGCTCGGATTGAAAAACTTTGAAGACTTAGGTTAAAGAAAAAAACGGTTCCTGGGTAGAGTGGGATGATGAGTAGTAGAGACAACCTTACTATTCCCTCCCTGGTTTGGCAGCCTCAGTCCAGGGCCGCTTAGCAGCCTACTGCTGTCCAGCCGCCTACTGATGGACTCTTGGGGGCGAGGATGGGTGGGAGTGGCTGAGGCCAGCGTCTCCAAGGGCATCCACTCGGAATCTCAGAAGCGGGTGAAGAGGACCCAGGAGCGAGTGAGGAGCCCGGTCTCAGGGCAGACCGTCCAAGGTGGTGGTGGTAAGCGGGAGAAAAAGGCAGGCTCTAGTTTTGGGAGGGTGGTCCCTGATCATTGTCCTGAGACGTGCGAGGGAGTGAAGAAATGGAGACGCCCTTCCAGGCCGTCCGAAGGTCAGAAATCTTCTTTCCCTCTCTAGAACCCTTTCCCTCCGTCAGAAGAGTTATGTTTATTTTCCTAAACTATAATATCTCCCAGGCCGGCTACTGGCCCTGGACCACCGAATGGCCCCTTGGGAAAAGTAGTTCGATTTCGCTTCCACTTAAGTTCCCTTCGCTCCACCTGCCAGCGCCTCTCATTCTTGGGAACTCCAAACCTCAGAGGGTTCCGCAAGCACCCGGAAAACTGAAGTCGTGCTCGCCCCTGTCATCAAGAGTCCAGCATTCCGGAGGGGCGTGGGAGCGAAAGACTACACCTCCCAGCGGCCACCGCGCGTGTCTCAGTGCGCAGGAGTAGCCGCGCCTCGCCACCCCTCCCCCTCCTCCAACTGCTCCCGTCGGTCCGTTCCCGTATTCCCCCCATCAGTTCTAATGTCCCCTCGGTCTCTCCGGCACCTCACACTCACCGCGAACTCGTGGCGTCGGGTACAGCCGCTGCGCCTTCTCCAAGAAGCGGAGCGCCCGCTCGGGCTGGTTGCTCTGGATGGCCTTGAGGGCGATGCTAATACAGCGCTCGGCTTCATCCTTGTTAGATTCCATGGCGGAACCAGAGCGCGGAACCAGGGAGGGGGAGGCCGGGCGAACGAAGGGCTGCGCCAGCCGCCGGCGCGTCGCGGGGCAGGCCGGCGCAGAATGATGACATAAGCCCTTCGCCCCTCCTTTTCAGAGGTTTGAGCGAGATTCGAGCGAGGGCGGAAGCGCTACCGTATGTCTTCTAAGATGGGGACGTCTAAGAGAGGTGTTAATAAGAGTGTGTGCTCACATTCCTGGAGCTCAATGGGTTATATTAGGAGGTCTTAAAGTTGAGTATGCTTGCACATTCTTGGTAGTAACTCTCTGCGTTTGAGATGAAGGTCATTTATTTATTCATTCAACAGATTTATTGAGTACCAGCTATTTGCCAGGCTGGGTATACAATGGTGAACCAAACACAGCCCCTGCCCTCACCGAGCTTACATTCTAGTGTGTGCGGGAGTGGGGGGAGATATCCATAAAGAGAGATATTCAGATAGTGTAAATGCTATGAAAAAGAATAAAGAAAAGATAATAAAATAGAGGGGCCAGCCCCTTGGCTTAGCAGTTAAGTATGCGTGCTCCACTACTGGCGGCCTGGGTTGGGATCCCGGGCGCACACCCACGCACCGCTTCTTCGGCCATGCTGAGGCCGCGTCCCACATACAGCAACTAGAAGGATGTGCAACTATGACACACAACTATCTACTGGGGCTTTGGGGAAAAAAAGGAGGAGGATTGGCAATAGATGTTAGCTCAGAGCCGGTCTTCCTCAGCAAAAAGAGGAGGATTAGCATGGATGTTAGCTCAGGGCTGATCTTCCTCACACACACAAAAAGATAATAGAGTGAGAGGTGCTATTTTAAATAGCTGGATGTGAGAAATCTTCTCTCAGAAGCTGTCATTTTAACACAAATCTGAATTCAGGAGGGAGAGCGGGGGCTCTGATGTGACTCTGGAGGAAGGGTGGAAGAGCAGATACAAAGGCTCTGAAACGGGAATTTTCTTGGTGAGTTCTTACAGGATCAGCAAGGAGAATACACTATAAGGAGCATGTAGGATCTCACTATCGAGTGGAATCCAGTTCTGTCAGGCTTTCACGCCCACGGCTCCAGGGAAAGCAATCTTACCAAGGTTACCAATGACCCACATCGCCAAATCCACGGGTCATTTCTCAGTCCCTATATTACTTGGCGTCTCAAGCGAGACTTGGTAAGAGGCTACTACAGGTGAGAGTTAGAAGGCTACTACTGTACTCCAGGTGAGAATTAATGGTAACTTGGACAAGGGCAATGGTGGGGGTGTTGAGAAGGTAGTAAAATTCTGGATATATTTTAAAGACAGATTCAAAACGATTTTGCTGATGGGCTGGATGTGGGATATGAGAGAAAGAGGGTCAAGGATGATTCTAAGATTTTGGCCTGATTTAAGTGGAAGAACAGAGTTTCCATTTACCGAATCTGGGGGAACTGGAGGAAGACTGTGAGAGAGTGGTTTGGTAGGGGGAACATTAAATGTTTGATTTACGGTGTGTTTTTTTTTTTTTAATTTTTATTTATTTATTTTTACCCCAAAGCCCCAGTAGATAGTTGTATGTCATAGCTGCACATCCTTCTAGTTGCTGTATGTAGGACGCGGCCTCAGCATGGCCGCAGAAGCAGTGCGTCGGTGTGCGCCCAGGATCCGAACTCGGGCCGCCGGCAGCGGAGCGCGCGCACTTAACCGCTAAGCCACAGGGCCGGCCCTACGGTGTGTTAAGTTTGTGATGCCTTTTAGAGTCGAGATGTAGAGTAGGAAGTTGTATATATGTAGGGTTCAGGGAAGAAGATGGGGCTGGAAATATACTTTTGGAAATTATCAGTATATATAAATAATATTTAAAACTATGGGACTAGATGGAAAAAAGAATATAAATGGTATTTAAAGCTATGGGACTAGATGCACCAGGGAAGTGAGTGTAGATAGGGAAGAGTAGAAGTCTGATGACTGAGCCCTGTGACACCCCAGTATTTAGAGGTCTGGAAGAGGAGAAGAATCCAGGAAAGGAGACTGAAGCAGCAGCTCGTCAGGTAAGAAAATGAGTTATCTCAGAAGCTAAGGGAAGCACGTTTCAAGAGGGAGGGAGGGGCCAAATGTTGGCAAACCCTGTGGAGGCGCCAAGCAATATGAAGACTTGAGAAATGACCAATGGGTTTTACAATGTGGAGGTCCGTGGCGACCTTGACAAGTTTGCTCTCAGTGGACGGTAGAGGTGGAAGTCCAACAGGAATGGATTCAAGAGAGTGAGGGTGAGGAAGAAACAGATTGGTAGTGGAGAGGAATGTGGGGAAGTTTTTGGGGTTTTTTTTCCTTTAAGATGGGATATATTATAGCATTCTGTAATAGGAATTATTTAATTGGGCAAGAAATTTTGGTAATGAAGGAAAGACAGGAGACAATTACAGGAATAGACAGAGGAGGTGGGATCTGGGGCACAAGTAAGAGGATGGCTGTAGATAGCTGCATGGACGACTCATTGATGTTCAGGAGGGAAGGCAGTGTGGCTGGTACACTGCGAGCCGGCTGGTCGATGTGGAAGTGGGAACATGAGGAAGTTCTTTTTAGATAGCTTTTATTTTTTCAGTGTAATAAGCAGCAAGTCCATGGCCTTCTCAGCTACATGCTCACTCCTTGGAAATTTCTTCACATCCAACCTTCCTTTCCATTCCCACTGTTCCCTTCCCAATGCAAACAGGCCTCCAAGCTGGCCTGTTAGAGACTATCCTGGGGGTGAAGAAATCAGCCCCTCCTTGATAATACAGCCCTACACTTAGAAAACGTTAAAGTCTTCACAAAGTGATAGGTCCTTAATATGTGTTAATGGATGAACACTGGGACGTCTTTCAAGGAGCCTCTCTGAAGTCTGTTGACCTAGGACTGCAATGTCCGTCTTCCCCTCTGCTGCTAAGTATCATGAGGTCTCGTCTTCTCCAGCCAACCACAGGTACTTCACTTTGTGAAGAGGGTACTCACGTATGAAGGCAGGCCTGTAATTTTGTTGGGTTAAGGAAGTGGACTGTGATTGCCCGGCTACTGGCTGGTAAGCCCTCCTCTCCTTTCATGCAGTGCATATAAATGACAAAATCTTATTTAAATTTTGAGTTTGTAGTCAGTGATTTGGCTTGGTTGGCAGGGTCTGGAGCAGTAAGGATCTGGACAGGCGGGTGGAGCGTGTGTGCTGGGACTTCTTTATGCCTTATTTTCACAGTCTTCTTCTTCCCTCCCCTCTGCTGCTGAGCTCTGTCTCTGAACTGATTCATTTTGGAAAGGCTTTGTTGTTTCAGAAGGGATTATAAACTGAGCCTGAATGCTGGTCTTTTCAGCCTCCATGTTATCACTCCCTGCCTTTCTTACAGATCTCAAACTGGGTCTCTTGTTTTTTGTCCTGAGACAATTTGACTTCCTATGGGCTTTGGATTTTCTCAGGTCAAAGGCCAGGAAAAGAGGCACACTCCTGCTCAGTCCATGTTAAACATTATGGTCTTTGGTCTATAAATTTTGTTTAGAAATGGATCTGGTGTGCCAGGGCTGACTGAACTTAACAGTTTCTCCTTGATAGTTCTTGAAATCAAAATGTCATGATTTTGATCTAAGGAAAAAATTAGAAACTTCTATCCTGACTAGCTGGAATCATGGTATCTGTGGGAGGATGAGGGGTATAAAGAGAGACAAATCCTTAATTGTCTCCACAGCCATCCAGGAGAAGTCACTGGGAAAATGAATCTCCAAATAAATCTCAACACCTCATTTTGCTCCTAGAGCTGAAACCACCCTTGTAGTAGGTGACCACCAGCCTCCAGATTTCTCTCCTCTGGGGACACCAAGAATTCACAGTCTGACCTTAACATGCTTTAATCTCCCATTGTACCCTCCCCATCTCTACTAAGATACATTTCATCCCACCCCATCTATCTGCCTGACCTCCTTAATTATCTTTTCCATCTATCTAAGTCTAACTTCTTCAGGGCTCAGCTTAAACTCATTCTCCTCTATGAAGAAATACAATTAATTTAATCAGGTGTCTGAACTGAAAGACAGGCACCATGCAGAGCTTTAGGGATTCAGAGATGCACCATGCATAAAGGACAGAACCTGACATCAGGGAGCTCACAGTCTAGTAAAGGAGCTAGATATTAAAAGAATTAGAGGACAGTGTGGTAAGTACAACAGTGGGCTCGTATGTAAGCTGGAGGAGGCTCAGAAGAGGGAGCTGCTGGTTGTGTGTGTAGGATTGGAAAGGCTTTCTGGGGTAGATGACAACTGAGCCAGGGTCTGAGGCTGAGAAAGGGTGTTCTCCTCCATGAGCTCTCCCTGCTTTGAATTTCCATAGCACTTAAGCCTGGCCCCTCCATTGACACCCATCTTGACTGCCCTGCACAGTTGGTACCCTTTGTTTGTGATCCTGTCTCCAGCTAAACCAAGATGGAGTTCTTGCTCTCGTGTTCCCTGTGGCCTCAGCACAAGGCCTGATACTTAATAGTGGATCAATATGTATTTGTTAAATGAATAGAATAAATGAATCTCAGAGCAGGTTTTTCTCTCCCCAAACACTTGATCCAGAGTTTCCCTGAGCTAGCTAGGGGGATAAATTCCTTCCTAAGGCTTCAGGAAGAATTACCAAGTCCATGGAGTATCCTCCACTCCTGTCCTTTGCTCTTTTGCTCCCTGGCTCCCCAGTGTCCCTTGCTCCCTCCAAATGTGACCGACCAAGACCTCCCTTTAGAGGGCTCCAGGCTCCAAAATCTCTCCCTGAAGAAACTACCCTTATTGATTAAACAACAGTATACAGTGGAATACCATGCAGCTGTGGGAATGGTTGGGAATGAGGCTTTCCAATGTATGCCTTTTTTATGTAAGTTTGATTTTGGATACGTGAATGTTTACCTATTAAAAAAAAAAAAGAAAATCTAAACCTCACATTGGAGATGAAAATTCACCCAAGAATGTGAATGACTGATAATTGAATTTTAAATTTGAGCTTCAATAAATTGTTGAATGAACATATGAATATTTCCCCATAGCATCTCTGGAACTCCACTTCAGTCTCTTGCTCTCTCTCCTTCTCCCCAGAGAAGGAAGAGCCCTTGACACCTAGCGAGGACCAGAGGCTGGAAAGATAAGGGCACAGGGAGTCCTTTCTAGCAAACTTGTCTGTCTCAGGGATATCCCACCAAGTACAGGTTCTTTGATTAACAGTCTTTTCACTTTGATGGTCTCTATTCCCAGCCTCCCTTGGGGAAGAGATGGAGCTGGTTTTATGAAACTGATTCAGACTTCATGTGTTCATGGTTAGTTGGCCTTGAAATTGGGATAGCCCAGGTTTTTTAGGAGATTCCCAAACCATATCTCCATTCTAGACTCTTGTATCCAGACTCATATCTACCTACTAGATACTTCTACTGGAATGTCTCTCAGGCACCTCAACAGGTCAAAAAATTGCCTTATCAACCTCCACCCAAACCTGGTTCTCTCAGCCTGCCAATCCCACTGTAGAGCACTATCATACATCCAGTTACCCAAACAGAAATCTGGGCTTCATCCTTAATTATTCCCTCTCCCTTATCATCCTCCACTTTATATGCCCCACCCTTACCCCCCAGGCCTGACCTAAACATCTGCCAAATTGGTTAGCAACTCTCCAACTCTGCAGCCATTCCTCTAATCCTGGCTTCCAGCATCGGTTAACTGGATTATTACCGCAGTCTCCAACCTGGATCCCACTCCAATCCATTTTTGGCATTGCAGGCAGAGTCATCATTCTAAAATGCAAAGCTCATTATGTCATTTTCCTGCTTAAAACCCTAATGGCTCCTAATTATCATTAAGATAAAAGTCCAAACTCCTTATTGGGGCTTACAGGGTCCTATGGGACTTGGTCCTATTTTTTTTTTTTTTTATCCCTCATATATATCTGGGTTTGGTACTTTTTCTCATAGATTTTTAACTACAGATTCAATTTATTATAGTCTATTCAGATTTTTAATTTTTTCTTGTGCCTGTTTGGTAAGTTATATTTTCTAGGAAACTATCCATTTCAAATTTATTGGCATAAAGTTGCTCACAATATTATTATTTTTTAAACTGCTGTAGTATCTAGTTATATACATTTTAAAATTCCTAATATTATTTATTTTTGCTCTTTTGTTATTTTTTTGTTTGGGTTTTAATCTGTTCTTTTTCCAACTTCTTGAAGCAGATGCTTAGCTTATTAATTAATAATAAGCTCATCTTCTGTAAATAAGTATGGAAGCTGTTAAGAAGTTTATGTTTCCCTTTAGCTGTGTCCCACAAGTTTTAATATCTTGTATTTTCATTATCATATTCAGTTCTAAGCATTTTAAAATTTCCATCATGATTTTTTCTATAAGCTATGAGTTATAAGTGTGTTTTAAAATATCTAAATGTATTTTTTATTTTTATTTTTTGTGAATGACTGCCATCTTAATTAATTCTTGGGTCACAAAATCACTCCCCAGTCTGTACTGGATACTCCCTAGAACTTCAGTTCCCAGAATGAAACATGCTTTTCTGGCCTTTGGACCTTTGCACACTTGGTACCCTCTGCCTGGACACTCCCCCTTCCCCCTTTGCTAACTCCTACTCAACTCTCAGATCTCAGTATTTTTTTTTTTTTTAAAGAAGTATTTTATTTTTTATTTTTTTGGTGAGGAAGATTAGCCCAGAGCTAACATCTGTTGCCAATCCTCCTCTTTTAGCTGAGGAAGATTGGCCCTGAGCTAACATCTGTGACCACCTTCCTCCACTTTATATGTGGGATGCTGCCACAGCAAGGCTTGATAAGCAGTGTGTAGGTCGGCGCCTGGGATCTGAATGTGTGAGCCCCGGCCACTCAAGTGGAGCACACGAACTTAACCACTACGCCACCAGGCTGGCCCTTCAGTATTTTTTTTTTTGTGTGTGAGAAAGCTCAGCCCTGAGCTAACATCTGTGCTAATCCTCCTCTTTTTGCTGAGGAAGACCGGCTCTGAGCTAACATCTATTGCCAATCCTCCTCCTTTTTTTTTTCCCCCAAAGCCCCAGTAGATAGTTGTATGTCATAGTTGCACATCCTTCTAGTTGCTGTATGTGGAACATGGCCTCAGCATGGCCGGAGAAGCAGTGCGTTGGTGCGCGCCCGGGATCCGAACCTGGGCCGCCAGTAGCGGAGCGCGTGCACCCAACCGCTAAGCCATGGGGCCGGCCCCCCTCAGTATTTTTTTAATTAAAAAAAAAATCATTTCCTCTGCAAGCCTGCCTTGAACTTCCAAATCTGGATTAGATGGCCTTTCTGTTTTTCTAAGTGCTCTCATAGCAGCCTGTATTTAACTTTATTGCTTCTTTTCCCTGTTTTCCTCACTAGAATGCAAACTCCTTGAAGACCTTGCTCAGTGCCTGGCACAAAGTAGGTGATCAGCAAAAAGTTGCAGAATGAATAGCTTATACCCTCTCACTTGCTGGTAAAAATTCCCATTCTGGAGCCTCAGAGAACAATCCATGAGCATTGCTCCTTTCCTCCTCTCAATTATAGTCATATCCACAGTGTCCTTCTTCCTGGTTATGGTCCACCTCTGGCTTTTCATCCCACCCCGCCCTGCCCCATGCCACCCAGGTCCCCGGGAGGCCTTTTCTTTGGAGCAGGGCTGGGGCTAGGCTGGACTCCCCTCTCCTGCTGCAGGCCAGTGAGTCCCCGCGCTGAGGCTTCTTGCCAGCATGGCACCTGAAGCCTGAAAGCTAAACTCTGACTCTGCTCCCTCCTTCCTTTCCTGAGCTGCTTGTTGGGGCTGTGGGGCTTGGAGAGGATGCTCTGGCTGGGGGACCATGCTGCTGTCCCTTCCTCCTTGTCTAGTAGCAGTTGTTGCCTGGACCTCTCCTTTTTTTTTTTTTTTAAAGATTTTGTTTATTCATTTTTTCCCCCCAAAGCCCCAGCAGATAGTTGTATGTCATAGGTTCACACCCTTCTAGTTGCTGTACATGGGACTCGGCCTCACGTTGGAGGGAGAAGTGGTGCCTTGGGGCGTGCCCGGGATCCGAACCCGGGCCGCCAGCATCAGAGCGCACGCACTTAACCGCTAAGCCACGGAGCCAGCCCTGGACCTCTCCTTTGTCTCAGAGTCCGATTCAGTTCTAGTGTATGTGCTTCAACCAGAGCTAAAACTAGGTGGGGCACTAAAAGCTATCAGAATGATCATTTCTGAAGATCACGCATGTTCTTAAGTCTCTTTTCCTTAGTAACTCTCTCTTCATTTTCTCCCTGCTTGTCCTTGTGGATGATGCTGAGCCCAAGGTCAAGAAAGCCCAGCAACCTGACTTTCTTTCCCTCCCTGAAGCCTAAGGGCTAGAACTGGAGAAAGAGTTATTTTTGTTTTTAAAGAAGTAGAGAACAGTAACATCAGAAGTAGAGAACGGCTGTAGGTGTGTGGGAGGAATTTGAGGCACTGCTAGGATCACTTTTTCATTGTCCAAGAATTATTGTTAAATTAGCTTTTGGTGGTCGACTGTTTCTTTGATCATGTCACTACTTTGGGTCTGAACTTTGTGGGTGACAATCTCACAAAAATTACATCCAATTACAGCCAGTATTGTTATGGGTGGGTAAGGGGTCCTAAAGGAAGGGCTACTAGTCTTCTCTAGAAAAGGATCAAGGAGGGCTACTTAAGGAGGGGACAGTTTGAGCTGAGTCTTGAAGGAGGAGGGGAAGGTTATTCTAACTAGGTAGAAGAGACAATTTGAACAGAAAGAGAAGCACAAATCAGCCTTTTGTATTCCCAAATGCACCCAGCCTACCCCTAAACTCTGCCCATTAAAATCCTCTCAGCCTACCCATATACCACCTTGCTCCAGGACTTCCTTGGGGGACTTTGGCCTCTTCTGGGTGACTTGGCTTGTACCTCTCACCCACGTTTACCCTATTGTGCCAAAGTGTGGACGTCCTATCTTCTCGGGCACCTGTTCCTCCTCTGCTTCCCCAGGCACTCCTAGGAGCTAATGGAGTTTAGTTGGATTGCACGTACCTGTGACAGCTGCCCTTGACCTTGGGTTTCAAGATGTTGCAAGTGAGATCCTTACCCTTTCCTGCTATGCTCTGGCTTTCAGATTCAGTAAACCCAGGCCCATCAGCAGATCTCTTCTTATAGGGGAATGAATGCCCCATGAAAGCTGTGAGTGGGACTTCTATTTCAGGCTGGAGAAATGAGGATTGGGGAAAAAAGTGATTTTGGGATTCTGGGACAAATTTAAGGAAAGCACACATTTTGCTGATGCCTCGGCCCTGGGGCAATGAGCAAGGCAAAAGCTACACTTGGGTAACAGGAATACATACCCCAAGACAGGAAAGGGTGGGAGACAGATAAGGCAAACTCCTTTGAGAGATAATCTAATCTGCATCCAGAAAGGATGTTAGAAGTGAGGTTGTTAAGTTGCTCTGGAGAAAATTCTGGTATTGGTACTGTTCTTGTGGAGCCACAGGTGCAGACGCAGGCCTCTGCTCTTCTCTGGCAGATAAGCACTCCCTACCAACTTCCAGGACTTGTAGGAAGCACTGGGTTTTGGTGTGGTAGTTCTGTTACACTGGACTTGAGACTCTGTCATGCCCAGGAGCATTACCTGGAGGTTCTGGAGGCTGTAGCAATTCTGGAGGAGAGATGAAGGAGAGGCTTTTGGATCTGGAAGATGACTTAGAGCCCATTAAGCTCAACCCTACCTGTCATTTTACACAGGAGGAAACAGATGGGAAATTACTTGCCTACTCAAGGCCATATGGAGTTAGCGGCAGAGTTGAGTTCATATACAACACTGGTTGCTATGGTTCTTAAAACTTAGGTCCACCATACCAGATGATTCCTCCTATCTCCACCACCTCATCTTCGTTCCTTATTGTGGGGCATGAGTAATCAAGGACTATGTACCCTGGCCCAGGATGAAATGCTATCCAAACTGTGCTGGGACGCTGCCACTACTAACCTACAAATGCCCTCACTTTTTGTTTGTGTGGAACATTGCCTTTCAACAGGAAGAACCAGATTCTGGTAGAAAGAAAAACGGTCTGCTGGTAGCTGGATCTCAAACCCAGTGGAGAAGTGAAATGAAAAAGGCCCCAGGGGATCCTAAAATAAAGGAGACAAGAACCTTTGGGGGGTTTACTGCAAACTGTTGTAATTAAAGTGATATTTTACAAGTGTTTAAAACAGAAGGCAAATAGACTCTGAGCCAGGCCTCAGCCTTGGAGGCACACTCCCGGAGGGGGAATGGCACTTGCAGAGAAATGAACTTAATCACTGCTGCTCATTAAGGACAGGGTTGTGGTGGAGTCTTCTTAGGGAGCCTGAGAGGAAAAGAAGGGAGTGGAGAGAGCCATGAAGCAGCTGCTTTAAATTCTGAATCTTGCTCTGTTACACTGTGCATATCACCTTCCTGGAGCAGGTCTCAGAGCCACCCTGGGGACTGACACAGATCCTTCCTGTGGCCAGGCTTCCCACCAGCTCAGGGTGCCTGGGTTGTCCTCATTATCATTCATCACAAATTTCCTTTGGCCTGCCAGAGGTTTTCCCAACTTGTAGCTTAAAAACACCAGCAGGAGGAAAAGTAAGGAATGTTCTTGTTAATAGAAATCCACAGCAAAGATGACTTGACAGTGGGATGTTTCCCAGGGTTGGCAGGTATGTAGATGGTTCCCTGCATTCTTCATCCATAGGGTACTTGAATGGGTAGTGCTGTCGAAGGTGCCAAAGGTGTGAGCTTCTAGGACTTGCTCATGTTTTTGAGAACCTCTGGGGATTATCATTCGGCAGAATAAGAGCCTAGCAGAACACTGGGACAGGGAAGGGGGGAGAGGGAAACTGGTTGAATCCTGAGATTATTCCCAGGAGGAAGGGAGCACTACTTCCAGAAATAGCAGCAAGAAGGGCTGTGCCAAGGCTCTGCTCAAGGGGCCAGGGTTCCTGGGGTGGAGAGGTGGCCCCTCTTGCACTTTTGGGTTACTGTTTAGGTAAAGCAAAGTCCCAGGCAGTTTCCTGTGCACACTTCCACATGGCCTGCATGAGGCGGGTGAAGCCCATGTCTTTGGGCTTCTCCAGGCCTCTCATCAGCCGTTGCTTCATGATGGAAACAAATTCCTTATTGCTCAGCTCCCCATTGCCTAGAGAAAGAGGCAAATACAACAAGGATAAGTGAAGGCCTTAGAACAAAGACTGAGAAAATTCCATCGCTCACACAACGTGGGTTCCAAAGCCCAGTGCTCTCTCACAGCCAAATTCAGTTCTCTTGGCTTAAAATGAACTGGTTTGCTCCTTCCTTGATGTTTCCGACTCCAACTCAATGATAGTTCAGTGCAGTGTGACAAAAATTGACTGAGAATATATTGTTTGTCATGTTCTGTGCTAGGTGTTGAGAATAAAGAGAGAAACAGACTTTGTCCCTTGAAATACTCCCAGGTTGTGGGAGGGACAAATACCTTATTTCACCAGTTTGGTAAATGCCATGATGGGGTAAACAGAGGATGTTATGGGGGCACAGAGGAACAATATCTTACCCAAGTGGGGGGTGGTGTAAGTCCAGATCAGTAAAGATTTCCTTGAGTGACCCCTAAGTTGAATCCCAAAGGATAAGCAGGAATTGGCCAAGTAAGAGGGAGTGAGGGGGAGGCATTCCAGGTAGTGGTAGTAGCATGAGCAAAGGCACAGGCAGGAAGCAGCATGGCTGCTGGAGAACGACAAGTAGTTACGCATTGCTGGACACACAGAGGCAGGCAAGTAAACTAAAGAGGCAGGCAGGAGACAGGTCCCCAAGGGCCTTGTACCTCGTTAAAGCGTTTACACTTTATCTTTTAGGCGGTGAAGCACCAGGAAATGACTGGAAGCAGAGGAGTAAGATGCAGTTAGATTTCCATTTTGGATAGACTTCTCTGGCTGGATATATGGGGATGGATTGGAGAACGGCACAACTGGTGTATGGGAGCCACTTAGGAGGCTCTTACGCTAGTCCAGGTGAGAGATAATGAGGGCTTTTCATGGTGAAAACCAAAATCAAAATCTGGCTTTGGGTTAAGCGCATTTTCTCATGGCTTTCCCATTCTACTCTCTTTAGTGGGAGACTCTCAGGTCTGGAAGAGAACTTGGAGAGTATTTGGTTTAACTAAAGGGTACCTCTCAACCACCATGGAACAGTAACCACTCCAACAGTAGAGGACAGTTACCCTTTGACCAAGGCTCAGGAGTAAATATCTGCTGATTAAAAGAATGGCAGCCATTACTGGTGGTGATAAGACAACAGGAAACCAGCAAACAGACCTCTACTAATGATCGGTCTGGGAAGAGAGAGGAAAGAGGGAATAAATGGTTTACTTCTGTAGAGAGTACTTGAAAACCTAAAGTGGCCCATGTTTCTGGCTTAAGGATGGATGGGAAACCTCAGAGATACCTCATGGCAAGATTAAAACAAACAAACAAAAAACAGGTAAAACTAATCTCTGGTACTAGAAGTCAGGAAAGTGGCTACCCTTGGGAGAGGAAAGTGGCTGGAAGGCAGCACCAGGGGGTGGTTCTGTGGTCTGGTAATGTGATGTTTCTGGGTAATGCTGATTACACAGGTGTGCTTGGTTTTTAAAAATTTATCAAGCTGTACACTTATGATTGTATTTTCTGTATGTATATTATATTTCAATATAAAAAGTTAAAAAGTAGCCTGGCTGGGCTGAAAACTAATCAATAATATGGCTTATGAAGAATGTAATTCAGGGTATTATGCTAAGAGAAATAAGTCAGATGGAGAGAGACAATTGCTGTATGACTGCACTCGTACCTGGAAGATAAACAAATACACACATAGATACAGAGAACAGACTGGTGGTTACCAGAAGGGAAGGGGGTGGGAGGAGGGTAAAAGGGACACGTGTATGGTGCCGGTTGGCAAGTAGACTTTTGGTGGTGAACATAATGCAGTCGATACAGAAGTGGAAATATAACGATGTTACAAACCAATGTGACCGCAATAAGAAACAAAGTATATATGGGCTGGCCCAGTGGCTTAGCGGTTAAGTGCACGTGCTCCGTTACTGGCGGCCCGGGTTCAGATCCCAGACGCGCACTGACGCACCGCTTCTCTGGCCATGCTGAGGCTGCGTCCCGCATACAGCAACTAGAAAGATGTGCAACTATGACATACAACTATCTACTGGGGCTTTGGGGAATGAAAAGGAGGAGGATTGGCAATAGATGTTAGCTCAGAGCTGGTCTTCCTCAGCAAAAAGAGGAGGATTAGCATGGATGTTAGCTCAAGGCTGATCTTCCTCACAAAAAAAAAAAAAAAGGGAAACAAAGTATAAGTAAAAAGAATGTAATTAAAAGCACAAAAAAGGTCTAAACAAGATTCCTAATATTTTGTATAAAAAGAAGCTTCAGATGAAAAAACCTGAGGCCATTTCACTCAAACTACTATGGGACTTGCTTTCTGCTTCCCTAAGGCTAGAGCCGATCAGTCTGAACAGCTTCTGTTACTTATGAACCATGAATATGACTGAACGTCATTTGTGCGCATGTGTGATCTGTGGGTGCAACTTTCAAGTTCTGTGATGAACAAGTCTGTTTGAAAATCGGAACTGTCTGTCCTCTGGCATTTTGACCTAAGATCTTGTACTGGTAAAAATGACAATGGCTTTTTTTTTTTTTTTTTGTGAGGAAGATCAGCCCTGAGCTAACATCCGTGCTAATGTTCCTCTTTTTGCTGAGGAAGACCAGCTCTGAGCTAACATCTATTGCCAATTCTCCTCCTTTTTGTCCCCCAAAGCCAGTAGATAGTTGTATGTCGTAGTTGCACATCCTTCTAGTTGCTGTATGTGGGACGTGGCCTCAGCATGGCCGGAGAAGCGGTGCATCGGTGCGTGCCCGGGGTTCTGAACCCCGGCCGCCAGTAGCGGAGCGCGCGCACTTAACCGCTAAGCCACGGGGCCGGCCCGACAATGGCTTTTTATTTAATATATATTTTATTTTTCTGTAGATTAAGAAAATAAGCCTCAGAGATGTTAAATGATCTTCTAAAGGTGATTTAAGTTGATATTGACAGAACCTCCTTCTAAAAGGCTAGAAAACATTTCCCAGGACTTCCTAGGAGAAGAGGGGAGCTTGTGAGGCTGGCTGCCTTTATTCCCATATTCACTTCACAGACTAGCTCTAGGATACTGGCTTCATAAATTATAAAAATGAATGTTTTTTGGAAAAAACTCAAACTCTAAAAGTGATTAGAGTAAAAACAAAATCTGGGGAAAGTTAATGTCTCTTACAGCAGTGCTGTTTATTAGAACTCTCTGTGATAAGGGGAATGTTTTTTATTTGTGCTGTTCAATACAGTAGCCACTAGCCACATGTGACTAGTGAGCACTTGATTTGTGGCTAGAGAGACCGAGGAACTGAGTTTTAAATTGCTTTTAATTTTAATTTAAAAAGCCACATGTGACTAGTAGTATCATATTGAACAGGGCAGCTCTAGAGAATAACCTACCCCTACCTGAGGATGTCCTAGCCCTGGAGCTTCCTTTGACTCTGACCTCGGTTATGAGTGCAGGCAGGAGATTTAAATAACTCAAGTTCAATTTAATAACTCAAATAGCTTAAGTTAATCCACACCTGTTATGTGCAAAGTACTATCTGAGGGCCTATGGGGGGGGGGTCCAAAGGTGAACAGGACTTATAACTACCCTTACAAAGCTCACAATTTGGTAAGAAGTTAACTCACATACACAGAGATAAGAGTGTAATGTAGTAATGTAGACAAATTGAACCAAGTTAAGGAATGAAAAAATCAGAGTGATTCATTATGCCGGGACCAAAATGGAAAGTTTCACATAGGTGGGAGATTTTGAGCTGGTTCTGAATTGCATTATTAACCTAGCTTCCTACAAGAAGATGAACAGTGAATCCTGGCTGTGAGATGAGCAATGGAAGTAATATAGGATAGAGGGAGGCGGCACAGCTTTGGTTTAAATCCTAGTTTTGCCATCTAACTACTACCTTTGCAATCCTAGGAAAATTACTTATCTGAGTCTCAGCTTCCTTATCTGTCAAATGTGGTTAAAAACAATTTCTGTGTCAGAGGATTAAACAAGCAGCTTAGTACGGGGCCTGGCTCACAGTTAGCAATGAAAAAAATGTGAGTCTCCATTGTTAATATTAGTATTATTATTATTGTATTAGCCAAAGTAGCTGAGAAATAATGCCAGAGTGGAACCAGGATCTCTTAAATGGGCTAAAGTACAGAGTGGTCACCGACACAACAGACCACAATGTGGAGCTGGAATACTAAGATGGAATGTGAATGACTGAAATGTGTCCTGGGAGGTGGAGAGATCAACACCATCTTCTCCTAGAGACGTTCAAATACTCGAGTGCTCCTAATCTACTAAGCAGCAAGCTGGGTCTAATATTTTTGTTTCTGTTTTTAAGATCCTTGTGGTCATAAATTAATTTAGACCTCCAAGCAAATTGGAATTACAAGAAGAAATGGAAAACACAAACCAGGACCGGGGGTTTTATTTCTCAATGTCATGATGCTGAGGGCTGAGCTACTGATGTGGGAAAGGAGTAAGTAGAAGAGGTATGGGCTGGTATACTGGAGCTGCCTGCAAGGCTCCATTAGAAACAATGTCTGGGGGCCGGCCCGGTGGTGCAAGCGGTTAAGTGCGCACGCTCCGCTGTGGCGGCCCAGGGTCCGCCGGTTCGGATCCTGGGCGCGCACCGACGCACCGCTTGTCAGGCCATGCTGTGGTGGCGTCCCATATAAAGTGGAGGAAGATGGGCATGGATGTTAGCCCAGGGCCAACCTTTCTCAGCAAAAAGAGGAGGATTGGCATCAGATGTTAGCTCAGGGCTGATCTTGCTCACAAAAAAATAAAAAAATAAGTAAAAATAAATTAAAAAAAAAAAAAAGAAACAATGTCTGCTTCAAGGGCAGGGAGGCTCCGTTTTCCTGCCTGCGTCCAGAGGGCCCCACTCACCATCACAGTCAAAGAGCGCAAACACCACATCACACACATGGTCTGAGAGTTCCACTTTAGCCACTGTCCTGGCCACTTGCTGCATGGTCACTGAAAGAAGAAAGAAAGATGCTGAATTAGCACAGCAGAGGGGCTTTCATTTTGCGTTCTCTGAATGGGAGGATAAACTACTCAGTCATAATAAAAAGTTTTCAAGTATATTTAGGTCATATTTAAGAAAATGATAATTGAGTTTTTAATCCATAATCCCTTTTCTTTTCACCTAAGGTTCCATTTTTATCTACTGCTAATACACTTTAGGAGGTGTGTATATAGTTAAGTAAGAATGTCTGATATTAGATTCACAGAGAGAAAGTAGATGAGATGTTGCCAGGGCCTGGGGGGAGGGAGAATTGGGAGTTAGTGGTTAATGGGTACAGATTTTCTGTTTCAGGTGATGGAAAAGTTTTGGAAATAGTGGTGCTGGTTATATAACACTGTGAATGCAATTAATGCCACTGACTTATACACTTAAAAATGGTTTCAATGGCGTATTTTATGTTATATACATTTTACCACAATAAAATTTTAAAAAGTGAAAATCCGCATAATATTTGAGGATGGGATTCTAACAGTCTAGAGCATGTAGTGGCAGCTTTTCTAATAAATTATTACCAGAAGAGTGCCTTAAAAAAAAAAGAATGCATGATATTACTGTAGTCTCCTTCTTGGCATTTCCCTCCCACCGGAAAGAACATGATAATAAAAAGTCAAGGAAATAACTAGGCAGCAAAAGGAAGGGGAGGTGGGGAACAAGGAGGCTTGTCTGAGTACACTAAGGCTTCACCCTTCAGTTACTGATTGACAGCGAAGGACCTGCATGGATGAGCTCCTTGCCCATCCTCCCTACCGGTTTTCCACAAGCCACTTTGTCTTTTCTAACTGTGCTTCCTCAGTAAGTGGTGGTCCCCATCTCACTAGATCAGTATGCAGCCTTTTTTTTTCTTCTTTTTCCAGACCTCAACAGAAAATCTCTTCCTTATTGCTATTTTCTCTTTCTCTGACATTTACTGTCAAAACACTAGCAATCATGTGAGAATTGGGTTCTCATGAAACAAGCCAGAAAGACTAGGCAATTTCCACTGCCTTCTCTCCCATTTAACCTCAAACCTGATCTGGCTACATCTTTAAATTATGTTATTGCTTATAGGCACACTCTTATGCAAAGTAAAACTCAGAGGAAAGAAAAGGATTAATTTCTACTTATGAATCAACTAGCAATGAAGTGTTCTCTATAAACATCAGATTAGATTCATCCAGAAGCAATGTGAACTTAAACAAGAGTCAGTGTGCCTTCTCTGCTTATTTTATTCCTACAACTTCAGTTCTTTCTTGTCATTTTTTTCTGCATTTGATCTTTTACTTCACCTCTATCACCTCCATATTGTCAACACATTGCCCCCAAGGTCCCTATCTGCTGAGAAACAAATACCAGAGCCATGCAGAGGAGCAAGGTGATGCAGTAGAAAAACTGTGCTTGGAGTCACAAGACCTGAGCTCTGGTCCTGGCTCCACTACCAACTTGGTGTGTGACTCTGATGGAGCTGCTTATCTCTTTAGATTTAATTTTCTCATATTCAGGTGAGGGGATGCCCACAAGATAACTGCTAAGGTGGCTTAGCAGTGCAAAGCATAGTTTATTGGTATTTTCTAGAATCTGAGGGTGAGGATGGGGGTGGAGGTATACAGCAATAGCTGAGGGTCTTGTGTGCAAAGGGTAGAGGAAAGGTATATTGACCACAGGCTGGGCTATGCCTCAGTGTTCAAAGCCTCTGGCTTGTGGAGGACTAGGCTGCTGAGGAGGGTGGGAAGAGCCAGTCCCTTTTCCTGCAGCTTTGGATTACTGTTCATACCACCCCTCCTCCCAGGATGTGAATTAGGGTGAAGGAGGAATCAACATCCCTTGGAACTAAAAGACTTAAGCAAAAGATATTATTGTGGTGGGATGGTCATGAGATGTGGTTAACTGCTGAAAAGGGAGTTGGGGAATCTACGTGACTGTAGAAGTTCTAAGGTTTAGAAATTGAGCATTGTAGGTCTAGACACTTGATTTTCTCAGCTGGCCCAGGAAGAACTGATTCCTGCTGACTGAACTCCCCAGGGGAGGAACAGAAATCAGAAGGCCAATTTACAACGAGAATAGTAACTGTTCAGAGAACTAAAATGATAACAGCTGGTCATTATATTTCTCAGTAGGAAAATCTACTAAGGAAACTCAATTCACCTCAGAAGATTGCTCAGTGAAAACAGAATCAGATCAGAAGAAACTGGATGCTTTCATTGCCTACTGAATTACCCTTTGCGTCCACAGAAATAAGTCCTGAGAAGTGGATCAAAACTTGTTCTATATTAGATAAACATGAATGCTTTTTGTTAACCATTCCTTTTTCTGCATTTCACATCAATCCCACACGTCTTTTTTTTTTTTTTTAAAGATTTTATTTATTTATTTTTTTCCCCTTAAAGCCCCAGTAGATAGTTGTATGTCATAGCTGCACATCCTTCTAGTTGCTGTATGTGGGACGCGGCCTCAGCATGGCCGGAGAAGCAGT